AAGATTTTTTTTAATGTTGTGATAAAACTTGCAAAATACTGGAGTAAAAGTCCGATTTACCAGATAGAAAAAGCATTGTATTGCAGAAAATATTAATAACCGTCATGCAGACTATGTAAAATACTTGACTATAGTTCTACATAAAAATGAATCAGGGATAATGAAAATTTGAAAGAAATAAACAGTCAGTTCCTTCGCCAATGTTGACAGTCGTAATGGCCGGGTGAAAGATCTCATTTAATCTTCAAAACAAAACTCTTACATTTTTGTTATGGTTGAAACCATAATTTTAAGTATTGTAAGTAGATGTTTATATTTGTTAAACATTTAAACCTTAGTACACTTGATATTTTTTCGGGTTCGCAAAAGCAGAGGTCATATAAACCCTCAGGATGCCGTTGTTTTTGAAAAAAGACCATTTGTAAGTACGTCGGGTTGGAATGCAGGGCCGCCGCTAGATTCGAACCCGGGACCTTTAACTTACAGTGATGAACGCCGGTCAACGCCTAAACCGTTGCGGCCACCGACGCCCCCACAGTAGAAGTTTGAAAGTCATGATGAAGGAGATATTTCCTCGAAACCTTGATGAAAGATCTTAGTATTTTTCTTTCTATCAAATTTCCTTTTTCCCTGATTCTTTTTATAAATACTTATAAAATAACACAACAAGACTTGACTAAATAAAAAATCCCAAAGAGTTAAATTTTTTAAAATTATAATACCAAAATTTCATCTCCCTTATGAGCTGAAAATTTCCCCATGATAGAACTTTGACTAATTATAAATAATAACAATCCTAGTGGATCGAAGTCACGATTGCTCAAGTGGCAGAGCAGCCGCAAATTTAGCCGAAGGTCGTGGGTTCGAATCCCGCTCGTAACACTAACCACCACCGTACATAAAAATTAATTAATTGAAAGAAGTTATTTGGTCCATCGGACCACGAAATATAATGGAATTATAAATAAATTTGTAAATGAAAAAAATAGAAATATCTGCATGATGATAAAAATACGTTTTACAGTATTACTTAAAATTATTATTTGAAATTTAAACTTTTTTAATGTTTTATAATCAATTATTAAATTATTAATAATTAAAATTGTTTAATTTTTCAAGTCAAACAAAACTTCGTCATGTGCCAACGCTCAGAAGTTAGGTTTAACTTAGCTTTATTTACTAAATGCTTCTAAGTTCGAAGGTGCTTTGCACTCGAGATGGCAGTGGGCAATAAACTTCATCAACTGTTCAATAAAGTTGAAGTCTAGTTAATGACTACATTACTGTTATTTTTAATCATTGTTAAAATTTACTCTGTTATTTTTTTATGGCAATTTGCGTACGTAAGGCTAACATGAACGCATCTAAATTGCAAATGAAAATGTCCCCACAATTGTGTTTGGTAATATCGAAGCATCGATGCTTTGCTATTAATATGTATGCTATTAATATATATGCTAAAATAATATGTATTTAGATGTTAATAAATTTATTTATAGTAGAAGTTCAACAAATACACTGACAGACAAAAATTTCCACCCACTTGTGCAATATACCTTGATTTGTATAGATTTTTGTATATTAATCAAAGTTTCACGTTTTTTCACGTCTAGTAATTGCGTCTTTGACTAAAAAGCAAAAAAATAGAAAAATAAATAAACTGTGAAGAGGAATAAAAGATTTTAGATTTTTAATTAACATTTCAATATCGGGTATTTAGTATGCCTTAATTAAATATCGAAGACGCCTCGGCCTACTTTCTTCCAGTCTGCAAAGGTCTCTTTGCTGGAGCCCATTCCCGGACGAAAACATGAACTGGCAATAGTGTAGCGGTATCAGTATCAGTTATTTAAGTAATCAATGACCTATGACGCAAAGTCAATTTGCATTCTGTGCGAAGACGAAATCAAACGCTTTGATTGGCATTGGGCTGAGGAATTAGCCCTCGAACACATTTTGCCTATCGATTGGGTCAAACGTGTCTTTGAAGCACCAATACGACACGACTAAACATTGCACCAGATTATTTTGTCAGCAAGTATTCTCAAACAAGACCTACCCAAAAATGACGAATTCAAACAAGATTTCATTGAAGTACTCAATGAAGACAGAAAGAATAGCCAAAACACCCTCTAAAACGTCTTCAAATCAATTCTAAGAGATTTCCTCAAAAAAGATGTGAATTAGTAAGCAATATTTTTGTCGTCGCTTGTAATGTATTACAGCAATTATTTTCGTATTTCAGAAAAGAAAACAGCCAAACAAAAAATTAGCTAAATTATATTGAGGATAATTTTTTCTTTCTAATTTTCAAAATAGACTTACGACTAATCAATTATAAGACTTCAACATAAAATTTCAATCCTCTATCTTAAATTGATTTTCCAAAAAGATTCTTGACATTTTTTCTGATTTCAAAAGATTTTATATCTTCAATTTAATTCAATGCTTCTATTTCAACAAAATCATCAGCAATGTTTAGGCGTTTATTTTTTTAATACTGTCTCCAATACTTTGATGATTTCTTCAGTGGTAGTTTTGTTTATAAAAAGCTCGCTGAGCATGTAAATTTATCTTGAATCCTGTTTGAATAGAGCTACATCTGACAGGAAATCTGCTGGAAAATTTCCCCCGTTCCCGCGTCTCCTTGTGGTATATTTTCCAAAACATCATTTGTGTAATGATCTGCATTATTCCGATCAGTATTGATATAAAATTTTTCTGCGTGTGGTCATCTGCTCAAAAGAGTCCTTTCAACATCGGGGAGTGTATCAGGAAGTGATGGATGTGCTCTTATTCGTCTTTTGAGGTGATCCCATAAATGTTCAAGTCTGGAGAACGGGCAGGCCAGGCCCTGATGTTATGCTGTTGAAGGTACGTTTGTGCTATGGGAGCGACATGTGGACGTTCTTTATCGTGCATTAGAATAGGATTGTTGCTGATATCATCGACGATAGGCAACGCATGATTTTCCAAAATTTCATTCACATAGCCAGTAGCCGTCAAAGGCCATCCACGAACAACAACCAACTCTGTGCAACTCCCCATTGAAATTCCCGCCCACACCATCACTGAGCTACGTTGAAAAGGTCGGCTCTGGGAAAAATTACAGGATTCGTACCTTCATTTTTCCTTCTCCACACTCTTTCATGCCTTTCTAGATATTGTCGACCAATACACTCATACCACCATATTCTCGACCATACACTCATCTGTAAAAAGTACAGCAGACCAATCGTACAAAGACCAATGGCTGTGTTTTCGAACAAATGCGAGCCGTGCAGGACCATTAAGGAATTAACTGTGTTTGCCTCTGACATTCAATTTAAAACATAGCATAAAGAAATATTTATTGGTAAAAACAGCGAGACAAATTAAGAGCAGAATTTTCTTTTTTCGAGTAAACAAAAAAATCAATTGGGTGGAATTTTTGCCTGTCAGTGTAGTTCTTAACCTCTGTCTTCTCTGTCTGGTTGTCTGTCTGTCTGACACACTCTCTCTCTCTCTCTCTCTCTCTCTCTCTCTCTCTCTATATATATATATATATATATATAATGTCTCCTATGTACATATATATATATATATATATATATATAACTGTCTATGTACATGAGGATGGTGATCTACTTTCTACTCATCTCCTTTCGTCTCCCCCATCCTCATGGAGCCTCTTGTTTGCTTATGAATCAACGTATCTTCAAATACCTAAAAATTCAATGTGTCCCTCATTATTATAATAGCAGTACAAGTAGAAATTTACTGTATCTTTATTACTAAATCTATACATATAAACGTTAAAAACGTATGCTGAGTTAGAGCGCCTCGAAAAACGGTGGTAGTCGTTTGGGTACGCGCGTACAAAGAAAGGGAGTGGAACGAACAGGTAGATTAGGCGGCCGTGCCGCTGTAGCGCAATAAAGAACGCAATGAAAGAACGTTAGCAGTGCCAATAGGCCAGATCGTCCGAGAAACTCCTGCGTGCCAAGAGAACGACTGCGCAATACCCACCGAATGTCTGAAACGCAAGAAAGTCGATCGTGCTCATCCGTCTGAGGATAGGCCGTACCCGATTGACCCACGGACACCTTCTTTTGAGGCAACCGTCATGTAGAGACAGGTTACTCAGGTGTCACGCCTTGTTCCTTTACAGGAAATGAGTAGGCAAGGATCCTTCCATTTCTATTGGGCGGAGAGTGGGTTGTTAGGTCCCCTCTTTCCGATTTTTAAGGAAAACTGTGTGTTCCCTGATCTGTAAATATTGTACAAATTATATTTCATTATTGGGTAAGGGTGTATGTATGTATTTGTTTCTTTGTGGGAATGAGTATGTAATATTCACTAATTTCGTGGTTTTTAGTTGAGATAAAAAAGTCAATGGCATGAGCGGGATTCGAACCCACGATCTTCGGCAAGATACGCCGCTGCTCTACCACTTGAGCTATCGTGACCTCGATCCACACGGACACCAAATTCCCGTCTCAACCCCACCTTTTGAATTTTCCCTCCTTTTTGCCATTTTTCAAATGTCGTGTAATCGGATTGGATTCTCGACGACAAATGAAATGGCCACGGAGAGCTTTAGTGAAGTATACTTCATTTTAAATCATTAAATTCACTAATTTCGTTGTCCGCTTGACCAATTAATATATTACAATTAATTAAGGTTTTTAGTTGAGATAAAAAATTCAATGGCACGAGCGGGATTCGAATCCACGATCTTCGGCTAGATACGCCGCTGCTCTACCACTTGAGCTATCGTGATCTCGATCCACTCGGCCATCAACTTCCTATCTCAACCGCACCTTTTGAATTTTCCTTCCTTTTTGCCATTTTTCAATATATCGTATGTATGTAATATATCGATTATTCCACCGGCCTTCACACTATATTAGCGCTGATACTACTTTATTATCAGCAATGAGCAAACTAAACTGGAAATTTTGCAGGTGTTTAACTGTTTTGTCTTCTCGTATTTTTTAAGTAAATAATAAAAATTGTACCTTCGACATCCGCCGTCTCAATTAGTAATCCCTTATCCAGGTCAGTTCTGTAGGATACAGAGTAAGGTGCCTTCCGAACAGTATCGTTGCTGTAAAAAAAACGAATTGTAAAGGCATTCATTAGAGTTTTGAAAAGCGGCAAAATTGAATGGGAATGATTAAAAAATAAGATTTAAAGGGACGACTATTTAAGAAAGTTGTTCAGTCAGCAGACGTTAACGATGAGACAATAGATCTCCCCGCCTGGTTGAAAAGGGGACGCTTCCTTAAGAAGAATCATAAGAAGTTTTGCAATTGCGTCAACCCGAATCATATAATTTATAGAGATAAGGGGGAAAAACTTGGACGGCTCACCCGGCCTCTGTCCTTTTATTCGGATAGTAGCTACCTTTTGCTTTTTCCATGATAAGCGTTTAACGTGATGCATGGCATTATTAACTACGAGCACAAATTTCCCAGAGGCAAAATATTTATTGTGGCGGGATGGTTGCTGTTTGCCTAGAGTTAATACAGGTTTCTTTTTTTGACGTGAATAAGTTGAGATAAATGGAACTTGCATTATGTTTGTTGCGTGAATACAAAATTAGGTTTTTAAGAAATTTTCCGAGTTAGTATTTCAATACATCATATCTGGGAAAGAGTTGAAAACAAAAAATTTCTGACATTTAAGTTTATAAATATTGCAAATTGTTGTAATAAAAATATGGGTAACTTACGCCATAAAATAGGAGTGAACGTCCAAAGTGGAAATTCCGTCATCTTTGCCTGATGTTTCGTAAAGGATGTGGCACTTATATTGAAAGTTAGATTTGTTTCTTGTCCTGTATTGAGGAAACCAAATGCCTTCGAGCTGGAAAAGAGCCTCAACATTAAAAATTACCAATGCAAGTTAAGAGAATAAAAATAAATTAATGTAGCGAAATTATCCTCCAGGAAAATAAATACAAGAGTGCATGATGTCCTATTATAGATGGTATTAAAATTTAAATTTTTTATTCAAATATGCCTGTGAAACATTAAACAGAGTAATCAATTTTAATAAAAATATCAGACAATTCAATAATAAAATTCTGTGATATATTTTAAGACATTTTATACTTTAATTATATAAAATTTTCAACTTTCTAGCGTTTGCAGGGTTTAGTTAAAAAAAGCTTTCATAAAAGATTTTATGATACTTTAAATTTAGTTAATTTTATTACTATTTATTTTTAAAAGCGTGTAGTAATTGGACGATGTAAAATTTAATGCGAATATTGTAGATTCCGAAATAATTTAACAAAGTTGATGCGAGGTCTGGTAAATAAGGCGTTTTCATGCAAAAACATAATTCATTTTTTTCCAATATGTTTTGGCGCGTTTGTAAGAAGTCATGAAGGCGTTCTTCATGGACATTTTATTCAATTTACCGAAAATCCATATTCTCTTCTTAATAAAAATTTAAACTTTTCGTCAACGTACTTTTAAAACATAAAACAGTTTTGGAAGACACAAGAGGGAAGGTTTCTCTTTAACCTTTCCATTTATTAGCCGTAATTTAATGTATAATTAGAAGCACTCATGTAAAGGACTTCCTACTTTCACTGAAAGATAAAGTACATATTTCTTCTTAAGTTCGCTGTCTATAATTGAAGATCTTTTGAATACATAAAACACCCATTTTCAGCCCTTGTTGTCAATCCTCTTATAAATTATTAATGTCATTACATTTTAGGATTAAACTAAGTTACCTTAAGTCAGAAAAACTCAGAAAATGAAGAGAGGTATTAGTAAATTTTTTTGCATTATTACTTTGTATACAGATTATGTAAATAAAGTTGTTTATATATAGAATATTATGATTACCGATTTTTATAAAAGACATGGCCTTCTATTTTCACGCTACTTACTTTATTGTGAAACTTAGTATGTAACTTGTATGTACTTTTTAATCTGCTAGTGCTATTAGAATTTTAACAAGTTGGTGCGGTTTTTTTTCTGTTTTTTTTTAAACTCTATTATATATTTCCTCTAATATATATATATATATATATATATATATATATATATATATATTTATACAAAAATTACACACATACATACAAAAATTAATCGATTTGTTCTGGTGATTTTGATGTTTTCCTTCAGAACTTGAAAATTTTCAATGTACAATGAAACTGATTGTGTTGACTTATCAATACTAAATTTAAACAACAACTATCAATAAATTGAATTAGAGTTCTGAAAGAAAACCAATATTTTCAGAGGATGGATGATTTTTTTTCTCTTCATTTTTTAGGATAGGAAAGGGCTTTCAAAATGGGCGAAAAAATACAAAAAAATCGAAATTAGAATTTTTCTATTCAAAGCAATTTTTGAAGATGAAATTTTAAAAAAAGGTTCCATACTCCAGGTTGACTTAAGGGGTCAACTTATTAAAATTCTAGCAGCACTAACAGATACTACGTGAAAATTTACCTTTAGCATACTTAGTTTTTCAATAAAATAGACAGTGTAAAAATAAAAGCCATTTCCTTTATTTTTATTAAATCCACGGTATATTTTAAACAAACTATTATAAATTAAATTCGCATAGTTATTTTATATTTTGAGAGATTGGTTAGTTTTTTCACCTCGGCACCTCTGCAATGCAGGCAACTAATTTTTTGTACTTTGCAATGAAATTAGATATTTATCTCCCGATTTTTAAATTATGGCCCCTTTTTTCCCCGTTATTATTTTTCAAAAAGAAAGTGGTAATAAATCGCTTTAATATAATGTGTACTTACACATGGCTTAAAGATTATTTGTAGGTTAAGTTTAGTATTTTACGACCACAAAAAATAATATGAAGGAATATTAAACGGTCAAACGATAATAGTATATACTCGGCTCAACTAACTATCAGAAGTAGAAGGCACTTAGCTATATGACTACCTTAAAAGAAAACAAAATTTTTACAAAGACGATTCGTTAAGCTTGTTGAGAAAATAGAAACATCGTAAATTCCATGTCTCAGATAACTGTATCTATTATGACATCATATACAAAATGTATATAATAAGAAAAAAAATAAAAAGGTGAAATTAGTGTGACTCTGCTATTATTGGCGGGTTAATAATCAGCAATGGAATAGAGGTATAAACGAGTACAATATAAATAAGTTTTACTTTTTAAAGCTTTACGGCTTGACCCTTGAGATATTATGTGGTTTTCTGAAAATTGTTTTCTTTGTACAGATACGATGGGGCATCTTGCCAAAAAAATATTCGACATCTTTATACACGTCCGAATTACAAAGCGTGCCTTTCTTTTATTTCTGTCTGAGATCGTAGTTGAAATTTATTGATTAGCTTTGGGCTACTATTAACGATTGCAGCTTGTCATCTTAAATATGTGAAAGATTATTAGGGAGAAGATGAAATTTTCAACATTTTTGAAAAATAGATGTATTTTATTGCTAAGTTTTATATACCATGAGTTTATATTGCAATAGACTTAACTAGTAACAATATTTATTCATTTATTTGATATAGCTATTAAACGTGTTCGAGCAAAGTATTAAATTTTTGAGATATTAAGGTCATCTAAAAATGTGTTGGAAATGTTATATGTGCGTTTGTATAAAAGTTGTATTATTGTTTGTATAAATTTGTTTTATTGTTATCGTGCCTATTTTACTATGGATAAAAAAGTATTGTTTACATCTCTCAACACGACACGCAAGAATGGCACAATTACACAGAAGACAAACACTTTGAGCCCTGAAGATGATCTCAATAAAGATCGAAACGTTGGCACGATAAAGAAAATGTTTTTCTGAAACCAGACCGCATCTCACGATTTCTGGATAATTATTGTTTATCGTTGTGCTATTAGAAATTTATTAAGTTCGCACGCGTTAAGCAGATCTGCTGATCAACTATTTTAAAATGTAATGCAGTATTATTCAAAGATTTTGAAAATCTTTTACGTTCTTAACAATAATAATATGAAAAACGCAAAAACTCATACATTTATTCTGGAGAATTCGAAGGTTTCCAACTCGATAACTTAAATGTATCGTTTAAATGGTTAAAAAAAGAAGACAACTAGAAATGCAATTGAACCAAATAGGAAAATTTAATTTGTGTTATTTTTTTTAAACAAAACTTTAAACGACAGCAAATAGTTACTCGATAAATTGAAATTTTCGAGGAAAATTTCAATATTTCTGGAAGAATCGATTAAATTTTGAGTTTCTGGTATCAATTTTTAGAATGGATCGTACTCTAAAGTTTCGCCTCAAAAAGTCAACTATTTGTTCTAGAGAAAGTTAATTGTAGCTCTACAACTCGATTATTTTCTGCTCGCAACATGGAATGCAATGTCCGTTTTATGGGTCTGTCAACAATATACTCACCACACTAAATGCAATCTAAGGAACGTTGTCTTACATGCACAAGCTCGCTTTTCTTTATTATATTGTATTCCAGTGAGGAGACTAAGAACATATAATGTTTTTAATGATAGCATTTAACTTTTTAAATTTTCACAAGGTGAATTCTAAACGATACTGCATTGTCTTGTAGATTGAGGAGAGTTTGAGCAAAGCTTTGAACTAAGCTGAAATTTCATATCCGGAAACCTAATGAACTTCCACTCAGAACGCCATCATCATAGATAGTACAATTTAAAAAAAAAACTGTGCTGCATTTGTTTTAATAAGCCCGTAAGAAGTTAATATTAGCATCGAATGTATTTTTAACGGATTGAATTGAAACGAAACTTATACAATCATCATAAACTAAGCTTCTAATTTATTTTACAGCATAATAAAAATAGACTGCGTCCGAGAGCGTGGAACCAAAACATCGATGTAAACAATTAGTCCTTCGTATGGGGTATTTATACAATGCATTTAATTCAATAATTAATATTTATGTAAAGTATTGGTTGAAATAAAACAGCCAGTGTCACGAGCGGGATTCGAACCCACGATCTTCGGCTTGATACGCTGCTGTTCTACCACTTGAGCTATCGTGACTTCTATCCACTCGGACACCAACTTCCCATCTCAACTCACCTTTCGAATTTTCCCTCCTTTTTGCCATTTTTCAACTTGCTTTTTTATTTCGATCAATGCCTTACATAAAAATGAATTAATTGAAAGAAATTATTTGGTCAATCGGACCACGAAATCTAACGGATTTAATATGCATTTAGTATTGAATGTTTATTGATGAATATCGCATTGATGATCAAAAATCGAACATTAACACAAATCATTGATTGTAGCCCCTCATTTGCATAACAGAAAAAAAAGTATAATGTTCTAAAATTATATCATGATTGAATTTTACATAAAAAAGTATGAAAATTTATTATTAAAGTTATTGTTTTAATTTTTTAATTTCATTTTATTAAGTTGATATGAAAAAATACAAAATAGTTTAATCCCGAAAGGTTGATGAACTCTCGCCTGAACCAAACACACTGATAAAATTATCAAATGCGTAAAATCAATGACGTTAACTTTGTTCATTGACGTCATTTACAAATATATTCCGTTCTGACTACCGAATGCTTTGTATTTGATTTAAACAGGCCGATCCTAAATTACTAACCAAAGGAATACTGTCATAAGCGGTTTCCTGCAATATTCGGTCCACCTAAATAGTCAACAACTATTTGAACGGGATAATTAGAAAGTGAGAGTTTAATTTAATTTATTTTTGAAAATGCCCTATTTTTATCACTTTAAATAAAATTGAGTGTTAAAAAATAAGTCCTTTCATAAAAGCCTTAATTGTTAAAAGGCTATAAATTATATACATCAAAAGTTTATGAAACATTTTTGAATTATTGATTAAACAAAGTATAAATAATGTGTGTTTTTTTAGTGACCGGTTATTTAAATATTGTCGGATTCGCGAGAAGCGGTCAGGAATGAGGTAGTTTAAAAAAACAACTTTTTCATTTTGTTTGGCGACGTTTCCACCTTTATTCTGGTCATCTACAGGGTCTGGGCAAATTACAGAACTGAAACAAACTGAAAAACAAAGTATCATATGCTTTCTCTGTAAAACTTGGGCCCCATTGATGAAACAGGAAGTGGTTCCGATCCACGCGAATTTAGTGTATTCAACTCGGTATGTCGGTCAATCATCTGTCACGGTTGCCAGATATGGGGCTACCAATAATATGAAGAAGTCTAGAAATTCCAAAGATTTTTTATTCGTAAGTTAGTTGCTCTTCCTAACCCTACCCCAAACTACATGATTTGTTTAGAAACGGCCACTGACCTGATTTACGTATACACCTTTAAACTTCACTTTTCATTTATTTTCAAAATTTTGAATTCCCCTTACATAAAATTGGCAAAATTAACTGCAATCGAAGTCATCAGGAATAAGGCTGCCTGGTATGCTCAATGGCTGACGCTCTTTCAGAGATTTGAATTAACCTGTCCCACCACACGAAAACCTTGCTGATTAGCCAGCTCTTTTTTTAGATCTGCTATTTCATACTCACATAAAGTGTGGTGTTATACTTGAAGGTTCATATTGGTGTAGTGTAAAATTGTTATGAAACGTGAATTTGTATTCTGCTGTTTTTATATGAATGTGACAGCGGTAGGGTACGCGGATAAATTTGGAAAATTTCTTCGATCATAGGCGGTTGTATTTAACTCAAAAGAAGTCGAGAATAGGGATTTTCTGGATTGGATTTGTTATTCGGCGTTATTCAATATTAAAAAGGAAGTAAATTGTTGAGGTTGATAACGAAGGAAAAAACAAAAATAAAGTTTAACAGTTTATTAATCAATATATGTTTAGTGGTCATAATTGACCGTATTAATTATTTCAATGTTTTTCTATAACTACAACACAGCACCGTATTTCACCATCTCTAAATAATCTTAAAATACAATACGAAAAGGAAACGAGTAATTCCACACATTCCAAATATATTATGGTTTTTACGACTGTAATGTCATATCACAGCTCGCTAACTCCGGACCGTTTTTAACTTGAACTTTAAAGCTAACACGAAATCTGTTTTAAGCCTCAACAACAGAGTTTAGAAACGTGAGATTATGTCAAAACTTTCCCGTTATTTTGGTATTTTTCTTTATTTATTTTCCCTTTTAGAGCTACTAACTGCATTCACGCAAGTAAAAAAAAAAAAAATGAAATGGAAGTTAACAATAGTACCACTCACGTTTGTACCATGTCGAAAAATATAGTAACATTTAAATTAATTCGATTCACTTACAGAATAGTCACTTTTTCATTTACACTGTTTCCTTTGATCCGATCGTTTATAAAATTAAATCCATTATATTGCGTGTTCCAATTGACCAAATAACTTCTTGGTTAACTTCGCTTTCAATTAATTAGACTTTATGTAAGATACTGGTTGAAATGAAAGAGTTAGAATCACGTGCGGGATTGAAAGCGTATTTAGCCGAAGGTCGTGGGTTCGAATCCCGCTCGTGACACTAATTTTTCATTTCAACCAACACCTTACATAAAGAATAATTAATTGAAAAAAACATTAGATAATAAATATGTATATAAATTTAACAAAAGTAAACATTAAATACAATTAATCTTTTAATTAAGGTTCTGGTTCAGATAAAATAGTCAATGTCACGAGCGGGATTCGAACCCGCGACCTTCAGCTAAATACACCGCTACTCGACCACTTGAGCTATCGTGGCGTCAATCCTCTCGGACACCAACTTCCCATCTCAACCCCACCTTCTGAACCGCTCGTGACACTGACTTTTTTCTAAACCAAAACCTTAATTAAAAGATTAATTAATTGAAAAGAATTTATTGGGTCAATCGGACCACGAAACCTAATAGATGTAGTAAGCAAATTGAAGTATACTTCCGTGGCCATTTCATTTGTCGCCGAGAATCCAATCTGATTACACGACATTTGAAAAATGGCAAAAAGGAGGGAAAATTCAAAAGGTGCGATTGAGATAGGAAGTTGGTTTCCGAGTGGATCGAGGTCACGATAGCTCAAATGGTAGAGCAGCGGCGTAATAGCCGAAGGTCGTGAGTTCGAATCCCGCTCGTGACACTAACTTTTTTTATCTCAACTAAAAACCTTAATTAATTTTAATATATTTCTTGGTCAAGCGGACTACGAAATTATTGAATTTAATTATAATTAAATGAAGTATACTTCATTAAAGCTCTCCGTGGCCATTTCATTTGTCGCGGAGAATCAAACAGATTACACGACAACTCAAAAATGGCAAAAATGAGGGAAAATTAAAAAGTTGGGGTTGAGATGGGAAGTTGGTGTCCGAGTGGATCGAAGTCACGATAGCTCAAGTGGTACAGCTGCGGCGTAATAGACGAAGGTCGTGAGTTCGAATCCCGCTCGTGACACTGACTTTTTTATCTCAACCAAAACCTTAATTAAACGATTAATTAATTGAAAAGAATTTATTTGGTCAATCGGACACGAAACCTAATAGATCAAATACAATATGAAAACTTTGATAATTAGTTTTACTTTCTAGAAAATAAACAAAACTGTTTGTCTAATGTTAATTATGGGGACCATATATCGCATACACAGTCGGCAATGCGTAAAAGCCCTCAATATTCTGAGGTAATGGCAAAAGTTAACTAGCAGTAGGTTTTTCGACGTTGCTACATCACCTTTGAAGAAGTTAGACCAAATACAGTTCTGATCAATTCTCGTTTAGTTGGGCTTAATAATGTCCCCACCGGTTTCAGCTTGATCGAAGCGGTAAAACGACTCGCCATTCCAGTATTCACATGTAAGGGAATCACATGTGAATACTTATTCTGTAGAACGGGTTGTATCGTATAATTCACTGATCTAATAGTGCGGTTACTAAGTTTATCGAGTGGTTTCTTACGTTAACCACTTAACCCTGGCCCATAGCTTTCAGGTTTCACTGGATATGGGTGTGTTAAAAATGCATTATACCCTCTCAACATCGTTAAATTGGTGGCAGATTCAGTGTGTAAAACGGCCAACTGCATGTGCGTAGTAGAGAAAGGACATTGCCTCGACGATGTGGTTATTTGAACAGATTGATAAAAAATTATCAATACTGTTGGAGCAGCGATCTTTTAAGTTAATAGTCACTCCAAACTTGTGAAGGGGCAGGAGTCAAAGGTTCAAATTTTGACCTAGGTCTCATACCACTAATAAAAATCCGATCACAAGAAATACTTTAAAAAATTATTTAAAGGTGCAATAAGCGATATATTCTGACATGATCTCACAATATCTTGTAGAACAAATTAGTTAATTTTCAGGGAAGTCAATTAGTATACTCACGTCAAAATTGAATGGGAGCGACCAACGATCAAATTCCAGGTTTAGGTTGCAGAGAACACAAAAAAATCTCACAAAATATAAATAGTTTCTTCATTGCTATATGAAAATCGACAAGCTCTACCTAGATGTTCAATCAAAATATTACAAAATGAAGCACAGTAATAACAAAAACGAAAATAACCATCTTTCCATTTTCATATAAAATAATGTTGAAAATCTCTGTTTAAAATTCAATAAAGATTGATTTTTACTGTCTCTAAATTCGTCTAATCCTCCCGAAAATTGTTAGGGATTGACATATTTTCAAAACACAACACGACAAGAGTAATATTAAAGGATTATCTATCGTAGTTTATAATCTGACTGCCTATCATCTCAAGTTTTATTTTTGACAAATCAGGTTATGAACGATAAAATGTTTTAAAGATGCAAATAAATGTTTTTATTTGTCTGACTTGTGTTTACCTCGTAAATGGTGTATTTTCTGGCGACGGAAAAGCGTCGTGCGCAAAGTCCGATTTGTTCGTTTTCGTCTATAGCATCCGCTCCGTTATCGGTGATGAAAATAAACGCGAGTGCGAACGCAACGAACCGCATGGCGTAACTAACACAGCTTGCCTCTGTTAATGCGGTAAAGCCTATTTTATTTTCCGCTCGAATTAAGATTTATCAATTCCTTCCCCTGGAATTTTATTTTTAAAATGCGTTCATTTCATGAATTTTTTCTTTCTTACGTCAGTGCTTGACAAAGCTATTCAACGTTATTGATTAATGATGTTTTAGGGAGTAAGTACATTGAAATAAATTATAATTATATTTTAATATTCCAATGTTTCATTTTATTTTTTTTCCTGTTATTGTCAGCTCAAATTTGAAATTAAAATATTATTTGGAGGTTGCTGTATTAAGTAAAATTTTTGAACAAACAGATGGAGAATAATTCTGTAGTTGTTTTATATATGTTGTTTTATAACATAATTAAAAAACACATATGAATAAATCACTAGGGATTTTGACATTAAAGAATTGATAATTCTGTTACGTTTAAAGAGTTGAAACTCATTTTGGCAAGGTTTTGGTTGAAATGAAAAAGTTAGTGGCACGACCGGGATTCGAACCCACGACCTTCGACTTTCATTTCAACCAATACCTTACAAAAAGATTAATTAATTGAAAGAACTTATTTGGTTAATCGAACCACGAAATACAATGGATTATTTTGAATGTAAACAAAACCACTAGCATGTGAGAATTTATTTTATAGGTAGAAAACACAAATACTTCTTCCTTGTACAAATGTAATGCCACACTCTCTAACATCCAGTCGTTTCCAAATAACCCCCAAACATGGTAAAATTTATTAATTAACTATTTATTTAGAAATCGTGAGATGCGGTCTGGTGTGACGTAGGTTTCAGAAAAACATTTTCTTTATCGTGCCAACGTTTCGATCTTTATTGAGATCATCTTCAGGGCTCAAAGTGTTTATCTTCTGTGTAATTGTGCCATTCTTGCGTGTCGTGTCGAGAGTGGTATTAATTAACGTTTTCATATCTGTATCAACTTCTCGTACACCTAGATCTTCTTTTATTTATACTGTCAAAACGAAGCCAAGGTTTGATTCAAACCAGAAAGAGATCTTTTAAATCGCTTAATTTAAACCGTGTTAATGCTTATTTAGACTCTATCAGTTCTATGTATATCCAAATCCTTATGTATATTCAAAAAAGAAATAGTTTTTCTCCTCCTTGTTCTCTCAGTTTTCTTGTGTACAAAATTTGAAAGAACTTTGGTCCTTGATAAGTAATTTTAAAGCTTCAAAAATTGCGTGTAGCAATATAATATCGGTGACATCTTGGGCGTTTCGTTTCGAAAAACTTTTTAACTCCTCGAGTGATTGTTTTATGTGTTGTACGCTTACCCATTTTATCACATATACTTTCCTTGACGCATAATTATGAATTTTTTATGAAAACTACGAAATTGTTTTGTGAAAAGTTATTATCTCTCATCAACTTCAACTATCTGAATGGTTCTACTTCCTCGAGTTTCGTCGCTCCCCCATTTCCATCTTTTTATACGCGGCAACATCCTTGATGTTTCTAATCATGCTGGAATTTTATGGATGGATTCAATTTCTAAAATATTTACTGTTTACTCCTTTTCCGATTCTGATCTTTGTCCAAATATTCCTTCTCTGTTATTAGTGATAAAATACAAAACATATAAATGACATATTTTAATCGGTTCGATAAGCTGATTTTTCACTTCTAAATAAGTTCAAAAGATACTACCTTCATTTATACAGGGTGTAATAAATTTATCTCAATTGGAGGAGATGAATTTATCTCAACCAATACCTTACAAAGATTAATTAATTAATCAATCGGACCACGAAATCTAATGAAGTTAATAAGTTCAATGAAGTATATATTCACTAAAGCTCTCCATGGCCATTTCATTTGCCGCCGAGAATCAAATAGATTACGCGACATTTGAAAAACGGCAAAAAGGAGGGAAAATTCAAAAGGTGGGGTTGAGATGGGAAGTTAGTGTCCGAGTGGATCGAGGTCACGATAGCTCAAGTGGTAGAGCAGCGGCGTATCAAGCCGAAGATCGTGGGTTCGAATCCCGCTCGTGCCATTGACTTTTTATCTAAACTAAAAACCTTAATTAATTCCTTATTACATACGTTTTCTGACATTTGCTGGTCTCTAGGTTGGGAAAAAGTAGTTTAGAATCACCATAGTAAGTTTTTAAACTTTGGAAAAAAAACCCTCGCTACTAAAACGCTTATTCCACGAAGGTTTACAAGTTTAGTATTGATCACTTCTTATTGGAAATGTAACGCCGTTTTCAATGGTATCAACATATTTGTCTAATACCTTTTAGTTTTGGAGTTAACATTGTTTATTGGAAGCAAGGTCGTGAAATTTTAACAAATCAGAAAAAGGCGAATTACTCCTAATCTGTTGAGATTCGGACGATAGTTAATAAGAAATTTTTGGTTCCTTTTTGAATGTACAATCTACTGGCAAAGTTTGTAACACGAATAGCCGAATACCCTGTAGATGTACAAAAAATATATGTATTCGTATAGCGGAAGGGGGAATTTTAAAGTGCGTACATACCAGGCTGTCTAACTGAAAACAAGTAACGGGAATATAAAAATTGTGTGTGTGTGTTTGTGTGTGGGCGTATGTATGTGTGTACATACAGTTTTTACCAAACTGGTGAACTTTCAGGAAGATTTATCGCTCGGAACGCCTCAATTGAGTTGTAATGTTATTCTAAAGGTCTCATTTCATATACATTGAATATAATAGAAAATGTGCACTGCCGCAAACGTAAATTTAACATTTTCCTCCTTTCAAAAATCATTTCTAAATTTAATATTTTGTTTTGAAAAATTGAAATCGAAGAAAACTGATTAAACACAAAAATGAACATCGAAATAACAGAAATTGTTCAACTAGATATGACATTTTCTAGAATAATAATAAACGATTCTTAAGCAAAATTTAAAGGTGTTTTACCGATAAAAACATAAACAAATGAAAGCAGAAAAAGATGCTTTCCCAAACAATTATTTGTTCACATAGCACATCCCACGTTTCTGGAATACGGAAATATTGAATATAAATGGGAAACGACTTTATCGATCCTTTTCGTTAAGGAGGGTAATCGCGCGTCCATTCATCCCGTCGACAAAAGGTTTGAACCAAGGGTGTTGATTGTCACCAACTCTACTCAATGTATTCCTTAACGATGTATTGAACATCTGGACGAAATACAATTGATTTGTGTTTTATACGTGTTTCACTATTATTTGGATTTTATGCTTTTTTACTGCAACAAGTATAATTATTGACTATTATTTAAAACAGTTAATTTTTATTACATTTATTTTGACTATGATTTGATCTAATGTATAGAGTTTTAAAAAAACTCTTAAGCAAACAATCTTTATTTCAATTGTCAATTTATTCTTATTTAAAAATTTCTTATAAAAACTTTTTTTTATTCAAACAAACTCATTTGATTGAGTCTACTATTGGAATAGTTTTCCCGCCATTAAGGAAATTAATTTATCTAACTTTAAAGCCAACGTATTGATAAATTGGGTCATGCTTGCTTGTACCCTGCTTTCACGGAGGTTTCCTATGTAAATTGAAGAAAAAGGGACAACTTTCCCTTTTGCCGTTTTCTGCCCGGAATAAATTTAACAGCCCAGTTTTTGTTTAAAGGTCACAGCTTGGTAAATATAATACATTTTAAAAGTTTATACACTTATTGAGATTGATTTGATTTCGTTGATAGAACGCGAATGCTAGGTCGAAAAAAAGAGAGTTTGAAACTCGAAAATCGTTTTTAATTATCGTAAAAACGGGTTTAAGAAAACAAAACTGCTGCAAATCAATTTATAAATCAATTTTTTTCATAAAGTCAATTTTATTATTCAATTACTATATCACATTTGGTTAGCTTTTGGATAGCTGGATGAAACACATAACTTTATTTGGGAATGTCAAAAATGAATACATATTTTTTTTTACGTTTTACTTGTAAAACTACACCTTTTTTGGACAGATATCTATTAAAAGGTACGGTTGAACATAAAATACCAAACGCCTTTTTTGTGATAATTCCAGCTTAAAAAGGAACCATCTCATAACGGTTTTTAGTCTGTCTGTGTTTTATTAAAATAATATTTACGTACATACAGACAATACATTTTTATTATTTTCTTTTTTACACTCTCTTTCCCTCAAATGCTCTTTCTCCACCTCTCATCTCACTCAATTTCTAACTCTATTCTTTATTTTAAGGTAATTTTTTCACTTTCTCTCTTAATTTTAAGAAAGATCGTTCGTGGCCTAAAAGAAGATGTTTAAATAAAACAATGTTTATTCATTCATTTCTGTGTTTGTCTGTTAAAGTTTTATACAGGATGCATATGTATAAATACGCACAAATTTTCAAAAAATTTATTGCCGTCACGTCTGCTGAGGTCAGATAGAGTCTGTTTCGATTACCAAATCGCGATTACACTCCAGCTGGAGTCGGGCTTGAAATCAAATTTTTCACCGTTGATATAATTCTCCAAAACTTCTTTTTGCCAATCGTTTCTGAGATATTACTTAATAAATTCAGAAGGAACATGAAGACATTAGTAAGAGTTATCATAGTTTGAGTCTAGGAAGAATCTAAAACAGATAAGCCTTGTATTTTCTAGCGGCTCAAAGTCAAAGTAGATAACATTGTTTTTCAAAGCATCTTTCATCTGCTTTGTTTACCTAATCCTGGGTTCCTAATCCCTGGACAGCCCTAATGCTGTCTTTCCCAATTTTAAGTAAATATCTCCTGAGATAAATGCACTATTTAAAAGGGACCTTTGTGTCGTCATCATAGCTGGTCTTTGAACCCAAGTTTGGGAATTCATTATAAATTTATGAATACCTTGTTCCCTCCTTTTATCCTTCCTTCCGAAAGCCGTCACTCCCGCAGAATTCATATATATCTTGTCTCGCTTACCAAAGTCAAAACTTCCTGGTTTTGAACCAATTACATCCCAATTCGCCCAAAATACCAAAACACTATTATATTTCTCACATAACTTTGCATTT